GTGCTAATTCAAAGGACGTCTAGACATCGAGTACAGAGTGCAGAGTACAGAGTCAGAGCATATCTAGATCGAATTGTGAAGAAGCTTTAAGTCAATATTGCTTCTAGCGCCACGTTTATCAATCTATGGATCGCGACCTACCAGTTGGTCACGAGCTGCTGCCTTCAGGTGGGTTTGGATTTACAAAGCCAGTTTAGAAAGTCTTGGCCATTTTTAATTATTTGGGCCATTTTTGGAGGTTCCAGGACCATTTAAGATTATTATTTTTATAAGAAATGTCGTTTTCAAGTTAATTATCTTCAACCCTAGTTATCAAACCTTTTAAAAAACTACAAGGGGCAGCCCTATGGGGTTGTACGCAATGGTGACGTAGGACTACGTGGTCTTATATAATAAATCTTATTTGTTAACCTGCAGCAGAAGCTTGTGTTTTGCGTACGAATAGGAATTTAAGCGGAGTTCTCTCTGTTTATACTCTTTAGTATGACGCGCTTGACTAAGAATGCCCACAGCGACTCACGAAGAGCTACTGATTCCGATCAATAATGGTGGGGCTTTTTCCTCCTTCTATGGATGCTCATGTGGGCTGTAGCTCGCTGCTTGCAGGCAGCCTTTTGTTGTATTATGTACGGGGTGATTGTATTGTAGGTGAGACCGGGTGGAATTCAGCTTTGAAATCTGTGTTAGGGAAATCGCTTTTCACAGGCAATCGGTGATAATTTTAACTATCATAGCAACAGTTGCACATTCGTACAATTTTCAATAGTGACATTTTGAAAGAAAAAAATAAAGTCTTAAATTTAACAGATGCGTAGAAATATATCTGATCGATTGGTGATAAAATTATTGAAATTGGTCCAGGGACAACTGAGTTATTAACGTTCAAAATCTTTCAAAATTTTGTTACATGTTCCATTTTTGGTTTTCACAAAGTGTACCCCCATATAGAAATCACAGACGTAGTTCTACGTCAAAATGTAAGGCTATTTTGGCAACGCTAAGCCTTTTTATCATTTAAAATCTGTTTTTGTTTTTGACGGGCTAATTTATGTTTTCAAGATTATTTTCAATGTTTTCAGGACGCTTTTAAAAGTAATTTCAGAAATTTTCACGATTGAAGACCATGTTTTGAAATTAAAGCCCTGGAATCTGGTTTTAGGTGCTTTTTTTTTAATAAGTTGAATAGAAGTATTTTGTATTTTCAGATCACTTTCGTACATTTAAGGCCGTTTCGGGACTGATTTGGCGTTTTTTTTAGTGCAATTCGATCCTATTTCAATGCCATTCCAAGGCTGTATATAACGTTTTAAAGTCATTCGGAGGTTTTAGATCATTTTGGCCTTACCTTTTATCTGAATCTAATGTTAGTGGCTAGAGGTTATGGAAATTTCCGAAATGGGTCGCAATTAGTAAAAGTTTGATCTAGAGTATGACTGCAGGACTTCTAAGACAATATTCAGCCAATTTACGGATCTTTCAAATAGGAGTACAGAGTCAAATCCAGTACAGTTCAAAATAACTTAAAGAATAAGTTGAGAGAACTTTCTGGTCAATGCTTGATGGCTACCAACTGCCAAGAACTTTCTTAGAACGCTGGCACACGTCCAAGACAAGTCGTTAAATTTTCCCAAACTCGCATCGCAAATCAATCAGGAATGATTAACGTCACAAACACTTCCAAAGAAGATTCATTAGATTCCAAAAACAAGTCAAATTACTTTCAGTAGAACTACAGTTTATACTTCCACAACAAGCCCAGAGGACTTTCGAAACATATTATTCCAGAAAATTACTCCTTGGGGTCTTCTTCAAATTTTCCCCCACCTAATCCAAACCCACAACCAACTTCACATCGGATATCTAGCTTGCAAAGGTCATCCACCTTGGAGCCGGCCATTTCAATCGAACTTGAACTCTTTTTCCATGCTTCGTTTTTGCTCTCAAACCGGCGGCGGCACCGATCAAGTATCGCACTCAACAGCCAACTTCACACCCCCTTCTTCTAATAGAGACATCGATAAACAGCGCTGCTAGTGGTGCTAATCGACTAACATATTCGATAACAAAAAACCCCCTCCTTCAACGGGGGGCTATCATCAACATCATCATCATCATCATCATCATCAATTAGATTCGATTGGTTTGTATTTGTATAAATAAACAAACGATGTCAGGAACTCTTCCTCCCCGGTTCAAAGCCTTGGACTAGTCCAAGATTCAGGCAACAAATGCCGGCGTGCTCAGGTGGGCCAAGAGCGTAGAACAAAAGCCTTTAATGTCGCTAAGAGGCCATCTACAATCGATTGGTCCCGCAGCTGATAGCGGATAATGTCGTTGAGACGAGGGCTTTGTAGTGTTTTGCTGTAATTTTTATTGTTCTCCAATAAGCTATTAAAGGACATAATTTTACGAGACACGTTCGACAGCCTTTCCCGGGAGATTACCGCAATCACTGGGTGGCAGTAATTGCATGCATACAGGATTGCAATTATTCCCGCTGTTGCCACTGCCGCCGCCGCCGCCGCTCAGGAGGGGACGATTTGAGATTTGCCACCTGTTTGTACTAAACCGGGAGAATGGCGTTGATTACACGCTAATTATTGTTGTGCTCGTGCATATGGCGGCCGGGTGGTCGAGCGGTGCACATGTAAATCAAGCGCAAAGTCGTTGACACTAGAGGCGGCAACACGCGTAAATATTCATTACCGAACGGCAGCAGGAACGGGAATCGAACACGGAATTGACAGGTTCCTATTCCTAGACGTCGGCCGTCGGGTTGTCATCATTGGATTGACGTTGGAGATTGTTTGTGTCTGGAATATCTGCCGTTTCGTAAACAAAGTATTTCGCAACGGTCTGCACGAAACGTGTATCGAAGGAAAAACGAGACTTGATGAATATATTAGAGGGAAGGCAATTAACATACGGAAAAAATAGATCATTTTTATAGTGCGGTCATGTGTGGCAACGGGACCGAAGTCTTCCTCCTGATCATGTGATCAGAATGAGTCACCGCGTGCGACGAATATGTTACTGTGCTTGGGTGACTTATGTGTATATATTGATATCTGATGTTGAGTCATTCTAAGTAAACTCATATTGAAACTAGTGAAGGGAAATCGTGTTCCTTTAACAAAGACAAGAGTCCTTTGTTCGTTGATGTCATCCCACTTGCACTGGGAATAATTTTTTCAGACACATTTAAATTCTAAAATTAATCAAGGGCAGTTGTATTGAGATTTCCAGAGTTAATGAGGAATTCTAAGAAACCTTCGAAATTCTCCGAATTCCCAGAGAAATTTTCCAACCCGAAAAATTCCTAGACCGGACCGGGAATCGAACCCAGCCACCTCCAGCATGGTCTTGCTTTGTAGCTGCGCCTTTACCGACTGAGCTAAGGGAGACGCCTTATTAAGAGTTATTGAGGAATTCTTAGAAATTCTTGAAATTCCCAGTATTCCTTGAATATTATTCAAAATTCCACAAAAAATTCCCAGGTTTCCAGAAGAATAATGATAAATTCTCACAATTCTATAAGTAATTCTTGAAATTCCATAAGGAATTCCCGGAATTCCCGGAAAATTTTCACTAACTGGAAGACGCGTTCTTGAATTCCAAAATGGCGACAGGTAGGGTAGTGAACTACTTCGGCCTAATCGCCCATTTTGGGCCTATCGAGCAGAAAACTTCAAATAAATCCATGATTTCAGAGTTAAGAGTTAAGTCAATTATGAGTTTGGTATGATACTTTAGTTAATAAGCTACCGAACGAAGTCAATGAGAACGCGATGTATGAAAGTTTGCACCCATTATTCCCAAAAACAAAAGAAGCGCTCCGACTGAATCAATTTTTATCTTCATCCGACAGGTCGAAGTGAATTCATTGGCGTTTCAATGCGTTAGGCCGAGTTTATAATCCATAGGCCGAGTTTGGCGTCAAGAAACAGTGTTAGACTTTTGACAATATCTCAACGATTGGATTCTCTTTATCAAATCTTACGGTACATACGGAATGGTAAATAAATTTGGAAGCCATCAGTAATAATAACATTCCGTTTGGTGCTAACCTGCGCTAGATTAAGAAAGACTAAGAGCGGGTTGTGCTTAATAGGGCGCAAATGGGGTAGTTGACCCTATCTATTTCCGGACGTTTGTACGTCCACCCAGTTTCGAAAAAAACACCACATGATGGTTGTTTGACAGTCTTTAAAAAATCGATTGCCAACATCTTGGATTAAAAAATGGCGGCGGACATCGATTAAAAGTCTCTATACTCGTTGCTCTTGCCCCGAAAACACCCATATTGTAAAGTATTTGATAGCTTTCCACAAATCGAAGCAATTCCTGAAATTCCATGAGGAATTCTCGGAAGTCACGGAATTCAATTAATAATTCATGGAATTCCATAAGGAATTCTCGGAATACCATGAGTAATTCTCGGAATTCCATGAGGAATTCTCGGAATTCCATGAGGAATTCTCGGAATTCCATGAGGAACTCTCAGAATTCCATGAGGAATTCTCGGAATTCCATGAGGAATTCTCGGAATTCCATGAGGAATTCTCGGAATTCCATGAGGAATTCTCGGAATTCCATGAGGAATTCTCGGAATTCCATGAGGAATTCTCGGAATTCCATGAGGAATTCTCGGAATTCCATGAGGAATTCTCGGAATTCCATGAGGAATTCTCGGAATTCCATGAGGAATTCTCGGAATTCCATGAGGAATTCTCGGAATTCCATGAGGAATTCTCGGAATTCCATGAGGAATTCTCGGAATTCCATGAGGAATTCTCGGAATTCCATGAGGAATTCTCGGAATTCCATGAGGAATTCTCGGAATTCCATGAGGAATTCTCGGAATTCCATGAGGAATTCTCGGAATTCCATGAGGAATTCTCGGAATTCCATGAGGAATTCTCGGAATTCCATGAGGAATTCTCGGAATTCCATGAGGAATTCTCGGAATTCCATGAGGAATTCTCGGAATTCCATGAGGAATTCTCGGAATTCCATGAGGAATTCTCGGAATTCCATGAGGAATTCTCGGAATTCCATGAGGAATTCTCGGAATTCCATGAGGAATTCTCGGAATTCCATGAGGAATTCTCGGAATTCCATGAGGAATTCTCGGAATTCCATGAGGAATTCTCGGAATTCCATGAGGAATTCTCGGAATTCCATGAGGAATTCTCGGAATTCCATGAGGAATTCTCGGAATTCCATGAGGAATTCTCGGAATTCCATGAGGAATTCTCGGAATTCCATGAGAAATTCTCGGAATTCCATGAGGAATTCTCGGAATTCCATGAGGAATTCTCGGAATTCCATGAGGAATTCTCGGAACTCCATGAGGAATTCTCGGAATTCCATGAGGAATTCTCGGAATTCCATGAGGAATTCTCGGAATTCCATGAGGAATTCTCGGAATTCCATGAGGAATTCTCGGAATTCCATGAGGAATTCTCGGAATTCCTTGAGGAATTCTCGGAATTCCTTGAGGAATTCTCGGAATTCCTTGAGGAATTCTCGGAATTCCTTGAGGAATTCTCGGAATTCCTTGAGGAATTCTCGGAATTCCATGAGGAATTCTCGGAATTCCATGAAGAATTCTCGGAATTCCATGAGGAATTCTCGGAATGCCATGAGGAATTCTCAGAATTCCATGAGGAATTCTCGGAATTCCATGAGGAATTCTCGGAATTCCATGAGGAATTCTCGGAATTCCATGAGGAATTCTCGGAATTCCATGAGGAATTCTCGGAATTCCATGAGGAATTCTCGGAATTCCATGAGGAATTCTCGGAATTCCATGAGGAATTCTCGGAATTCCATGAGGAATTCTCGGAATTCCATGAGGAATTCTTGGAATTCCATGAGGAATTCTCGGAATTCCATGAGGAATTCTCGGAATTCCATGAGGAATTCTTGGAATTCCATGAGGAATTCTCGGAATTCCATGAGGAATTCTCGGAATTCCATGAGGAATTCTCGGAATTCCATGAGGAATTCTCGGAATTCCATGAGGAATTCTCGGAATTCCATGAGGAATTCTCGGAATTCCATGAGGAATTCTCGGAATTCCATGAGGAATTCTTGGAATTCCATGAGGAATTCTTGGAATTCCATGAGGAATTCTCGGCATTCCATGAGGAATTCTCGGAATTCCATGAGGAATTCTCGGAATTCCATGAGGAATTCTCGGAATTCCATGAGGAATTCTCGAAATTCCATGAGGAATTCTCGGAATTCCGTGACGAATTCTCGGAATTCCGTGAAGAATTCTTGGAATTCCGTGACGAATTCTCGGAATTCCGTGACGAATTCTCAGAATTCCATGAGGATTTTTTTACAATTTCATGAAGAATTATCAAGAATTATATGAGGAATTTCCCAAAATTCCAATAGACATTTCGCTAAATTCCATAAGGAATTTCCCAGAATTCCATGAGGAAGTTTCAAAAAATTCCATGAGGAATTTCTCAAAATGCCATGTTGAATTTCCCAAAATTCCATGAGAATTTTTCGGAAATTCTATGAAGAATTTCTTCAAATTCCATGAGGAATTTCCCAGAATTCCATGAGGAATTTCCCAAAATTCCACGGATAATTTCCCCAAATTCCATGAGAAATTTCCCTAAATTCCATAAGGAATTTCCCATAATTCCATGAGGAGTATCCCAGAATTCCATGAGGAAGTTTCCAAAATTCGATGAGGAATTTCTCAAAATGCCATGAAGAATTTCCCAAAATTCCATAAAATTTTTCCCATAATTCCATGAGGAATTTCCCAAAATACCGTGAGGAATTTCCCAGAGTTCCATGAGAAATTTCCCAAAATTCTACGGGGAATTTCCCCAGTTTTCAAGAGGAATTTTCCGAAATTCCATGAGGAATTTTCCGAAATGCCATGAGGAATTTTCCGAAATGCCATGAGGAATTTCCCGAAGTTTCATGAGGAATTTCATGAAAGTCCATGAGGAACTTCCCAAAATGCCATGAGGAAATTCCCAAAATTGCATGAAGAATTTCCCAAAACTCCATGAAGAATTTTCCATAATTCCATGAGGAGTTTCCCAGAATTCAATGAGGAAGTTTCCAAAATTCCATGAAGAATTTCTTAAAACGCCATGACGAATTTCCCAAAATTCAATAAAAAATTTCCCATAATTCCATGAGGAATTTCCCAAACTTCCATGAAGAATTTTTCAAAATTACATGAGAAATTTACCCTAAATTCCATAAGGAATTTCCCATAATTCCATGAGAAGTTTCCCAGAATTCCATGAGGAATTTCCCAAAATTCCATAAAAAATTTCCTATAATTCATTGAAGAATTTCCCAACATTCCATGAGGAAATTTTCAAAATGCCATGAGGAATTTCCCAGAATTCCATGAGGAATTTCCCAAAATTCCACGAGGAATTTCCCAAAATTCCACGAGGAATTTCCCCTAATTCCAGGAGGAATTTTCCGAAATTCCATGAGGAATTTCCCAAAATTCCATAAAAAATTTCCTATAATTCATTGAAGAATTTCCCAACATTCCATGAGGAAATTTTCAAAATGCCATGAGGAATTTCCCAGAATTCCATGAGGAATTTCCCAAAATTCCACGAGGAATTTCCCAAAATTCCACGAGAAATTTCCCCTAATTCCAGGAGGAATTTTCCAAAATTCCATGAGGAATTTCCCAAAATTCCTTGAGGAATTTCCCAAAATTCCTTGAAAAATTTCCCAAATTCCACGAGGAATTTCCCAAAATTCAAGGAAGAATTTCCCAAAAATCCATGAGGAATTTCCCAAAATTCCATGAGGAATTTCCTAACATTCCATGAGGAAATTCTCAAAATTCTGAACGGATATTCCCAAAATTCCATGATGAATTTCCCAAAATTTCATGATGAATTTCCTAAAATTCCATGATGAATTTCCCAAGATTCCATATGAATTTCCCAAAATACCATGAGGAATTTCCCAAAATTTCAGAAGGAATTTCCCAAAATTCCATGAGGAATTTTCCAAAATTCCATGAGGAAATTCCCAAAACTCAATGAAGAATTTCCCAAAAATCCATGAGGAATTTCCCAAAATTCCATGAGAAAATTCTCAAAATTCTGAACAGATATTCCCAAAATTCCATGACGAATTTCCCAAAATTCCATGAGGAATTTCCCAAAATTCCATGAGGAAATTCCCAAAATTCCATGAGGAATTTCCCAAAATTCCATGAGAAATTTTCCAAAACTCCATGAGGAATTGCCCAATGTTTATTGAGTTCACAGAAAATTTTCAGTGTCCTTATGAAGATCTCTGAACTTGTGAGGAGTTTTCAAAACTTATGGAAAATGCTGTGAACTTCTAAGAAATTCCCAGAACTTCTACGATTCTTCCCTAGCTTACATAAATTTTCCTAATCTTCTAGGAAGTTCACTGAATGTCTACCAACTGAACTTTTACGATTTTCCTATAACCCACACAATATTTGCTTAACATCTACAAAAAAAACCCTTAACTTATGGAAAAAATTCTCAACTTCTTCGAAGTTCTCTGAGCTTGTTTCAAGGACAATAAGTTTTAATTCTATCAAGATCCCAAAACATTTATGAACCTCTCCGAACTTCCGGTCAGTTTCTTGGAATTAAACGATGTTTCCAAAAAAATCAGGAAGCGCATTTAACGATTTTGTACTACGTTCTTGGAAAAAAAAATACTACGACGTTGCTACAAAGATCCCTGAAGACCTAAAAGTTTGCAGAACTTCAAACCAATTTTCTGAGCGTCAACAAAGTTTACCGAACTTCTTTAACAAAATTCCCTGCACTTCAATGAAGTTTCTCGGATTGCAACGTAGTTCGCTAAACTTCTTCAAAACTCGTTGAACTACTATGAAGTTTGCTACACTGCCTATAATCGCATATCAGTCCCATAAGGCATTGAGAAAAAGGTCGTCGAAGTTACGAACTGCAACTCCCATGTCAATATTTGGAAAATCATAGTAAATTTATGGATATTTTTTTTCAAGTTAAAACCAGTTGCAATGAAGCTTGCATGTTTTGTTACACAGTGAAAAATATGGCATTTCGAAAAGCAGAACTTTAACTTGAACTGTGGACGATTGAGTTTCAGGATGGGACTGATGTGTGATTATTTTTCGTGATGGGACAAACTGACTTGATGTTATTTTCACATTGTTGATTCCGTAGTTTTATCACATAATATGAAAGTATTTGCTAATTGATAGTGGATAGCGTTGTTATCTCAAAAAGGACGAAAATCCATATGGGACTGATATGTGATTCTTTAAAGATCCAATAACTTTTAAGAACTTCGTTGATTCCTATCAAGTTTCCTGAAACTTTACGAATTTAACTAAACATCTACGGAATTCCCAGACCTTTCCCAAGTCCATTAAATTTCAAAGAAGTACCAGTGAAGCGAAAAAAAAAGAGCACACAGAACTTTCATGAAGTTCACTGAAAGTAAAAAAAGTTCCTTTAACTTCTGAGCCGTTCCATACCAATTCGCAAATCGATTTATTTTTGTATTGTTTGATTTGGCTGAAAATTTGCAGAAACGTTCCTTATCATCAAAAATGCCATTTTGTATCTTTAGACTTTCATTTTAAATCCAGCCTTATTTTTGAAAAGCGCCAATAGAAAAATGCTAAGCTTATCTTCAGAACACTGCTACTCGACAACTTTTTATCTTATCGGATTGGTGTCTTTGGCAATACTGTAGGTAATGGCTGGGACTATTTGAAAAAAAAAATATCCACTCTAAACAATTTCGCATATTTTTTTGATTTCAAACAAAGAACTGATTTTTTTTTAATTTTTATTAAATTTTTTTTATATATGTTTTAGGGGACAACATCCAATAAAAAAAATTCAAATACGATTGAGCTCAGAAGCGAAACGAAGAACAACAGACTCAAAATTTGTTTTTTTTTGCTATTCAGCTACTGAAGAATATGAAAGCAAGAAACAAGAACTTGAACAACACTCAAGAGCTATAAAATACTACAGGGTAAGGTCAAGACGAACAAATTATGAACATACAAGTTATGATTTAAAAAAATATATATGTGTTAATGGAAAAATATCCAAAACATTCAAGGATTACGTCTTTTGGCAATATACTGGGGGTGCCAAAAAACCAAAATCGACCAAGTTACGAAAAGTGGTCAGATTTTGACTACTTATAACTCTGTCAATAGCGAATGGATTTTAATTTGAAACAAGCCAATTGTTTGGAAATTTTCTACGAATCTGCTAAAACGAATACTTTATCAATTTTCAATAGGTCACTAATGAAAATAGCAGAAATGTTCAACTGGTGTAATGCTGATCAAAATGATCACCGATTGCATGCAAAAACCCCTTTCCCTAACACAGATTTCAAAATCGAATTCGGTCTCACCGAACGGTGCTTATTCAATCGGTCGGTCGTCATCAGCAGCAGCTGCAGCAGTGCTTTCGGTGCGTGGCGTTGAACATTATTCTCCAGTACACACTGCCCGCAAGCAGCGAGCTACAGCCCATATGAGCGTCCATTCGCCGAAGAAGGAGAAAGAAGCCACACCGCTACTGATCGGATTCAGTAGCTTTTTGTGAGTCGCTGTGGGTCATCTATGCCAAGCGCGTCATCCTCGTTCCAAACAACACATGTGCATAACTGTAAGTATATATCAAATCATCTTTGAAGTGCATGGCTAGCTACTATTTGCCCTAACGCATAGTAACGTCAACAATACCGACACCAGTGTCGAGTGTAAAACATTCTACTAAGATAACGAGTATGAAAACATTTCGAGGATGCAGTGAGGTTTGACGTTGTTTAACAAATTTTTATCGGTCGCGTACCTCACGTGTAATGAATGACAGAATCAATCAAGTGTGGCCAATCAGCCAATAGGATAGCAAATAAACGTCCATCGATTGGTATCAATTAAAATTGATATATTATCCACATGACCATTGCAGTCGATTGCTAACACGAATACAATTGGCTGACTATACAGTCAATAACATTGCAAAAGTGTACCAGACAGCAGCCGGTATTTGTCCAGTTACTTCAAATACTCGGTAAATAAAACAACTCATTCAAAATCCTATTCAAAAGAAGTTTTCCCCGTCCGAAGGTTCTCAGATCAAGTCAGTCAAATGCACCAAAAACC